TGCTAAGAAGAGATAAATGGTCACTTCTGTTGTCACTTGGATTGGAGTTTATATCATGATAAGTTGCTTGTACCTGTTGGTTTGACTGTAAATGTTACTTTATATCTTGCGATTTTGGGATTCTTAGAAGTCTGTTTATTTTGAGACATTATTTTCTGTTTGGCTGTGCAAGAGTAAATTGCAGCTCTCCAGAATGTCCCTTCTCAGTTGAGCCATACTGGAAAAAATCCTGTGCATCCCTAACATTCTTCTTGTGAATGCTTTTGGTGTTTTAAATCTAAGAAAGTAATAGAAGTATTAAAAAATTTAAAAAGATCCTGGAAAATTCTAGTACTACCAAATATGCTCAAGATATTTTTATGCAGAATAAAGAGCTTTCAATGAAGACAAATATTTAATGAAGTTGTAATTAATAATTAAACTTCTCTCAAACTCTTTATTTTTAATCTTTGGAAGACGAAACTATATCATGGGTTTTGACAAATGTTTCCTTTGCGATGGAGAAGAAGGGTAGGGATGATAGTGCTTTGCTTTTACTCTGAAAAGCCAGATGGAATTCCCTGCTCTGTATCCTCCACAGAGTGTGGATGTGAGCAATTATCTTGCAGGACCTGGGACAAAGACTGAATTTATTGAAACCAGTAATCAGTGGAGAGAAGAAAACACCTGTTTGAATATTGTGCCCAATTTTTTTCTCATGAAATTTAAATAAGTAGCTACTGTGTAATTAAAGCAGCGTGTGAAACAGTACGGAGGCATACAATGAGTAAAAACTGTGTCAAATGAAATACAGAAGCAACAAAACCATGTGCTTAAAATCCTTGGCTCAAGAAAGCACTTAAGCACAGGCTGAGATCCCACTGAGTGCAGTGCCAAAGCAGAGGCTTTATAGGAAGACTTTTTAAATTAATTCAGCATTGGCCTAGTATTTTCTTTTAAAGTTATACTGTAAACTTCCACTGAACACAGATGGGCCAATGACTGTAGTCCTTTTCCAAAATTTTAGTGCGTCAGCGTTCCCATACCCAAATCACAGTTCAGGAGAACATTTTCAAGAGCAGAGTCAGAAATGATGAGGCGTTAGGGGTCTTTGGGTACAGCAGCTCCCCCCCCGGCTGCAGGGAGTCTCTGCTTCTACTGCATTTTTTTGGGGAGGAGGGTGACTCCCCTTGCTGGCTGGGAGTTTTAGCATGGCACTTCTCCAGACATGGAGCTTGCAGCATTGCAGGTGTCTGAGCAGGGAGGCAGGCTCAAATCCTCTGGGCTTGCATGTGTGTGCTGCATAACGATAGCTAACAGCGTTAAAATCTCCAGATGAGGAATAATTAAACCATTACTGGTACTGTAATGCTAATACCATTGTCTAAATCTGCTTTCAGATCTTTTCTGTATGAACATATTCTCTGTGTAAAACATTACGTTGAGGAAGATGTTAGAAATGTTGTCATCTTCAGCATGTGTAGCTAAAACCAGAGCTGGCATATGTTCATGTCTGCTTTCCCAGATAATCCTCTTAGAGCTGTAAAATGGAATCTGTGGCGCTGGTGCTGGCGCTTGCTGTGGGTGCACGCTTCTACCTCCAGCCCACTGGAAGTGGTGGGCTTGTGGGGATCGTACACATGGATGAGACCAGAGGATTCAGGCATAAAAGTAAATTTGAGGGTTGATTTAAATTTAAATAGAGGCTGATATCTTTAATTATTTCCTGATGGGTTTTGACTTATTATCTGTACAACAAAGGAAAATCCACTTTCTCTCAGAGTTAGCTGAGTTCCCTCTCTTTTCTTATATATATATATATTTTTTTTTTCCTTAGAGCTTTGCCTTTTGGGGGAGAAACTACAAGATGTATTTAATTTGTGTTCTTGATGAAACAGCCTGGAATGATTATCAGCTTAAAACTGTTTCTGTAAGGGCTGTATATTGACAGTCTTGTAGTTGTTCAACATTTCCACTATTCTTCTTCAATAATTTCTGTCCAGCTTCCTTGGAGGACTGCAGTAGTACAGTCCTATTTGCCCACTGACATTTTTCTTAAGCAGTGTTTCCCATAGAAGGAAATGCCTGATATCTGCAGCAGCAGATGCATTTCTGTTTCATGGAATTATTCTTTAAAATCTTCGCTTATTTTTATATCTTCAGTACTTTTCGGGGCTCGCTGCTGATTTCCTTTCTCTCCTTGCAGTTTGAACATGCCCTGACCTGGGTTCCCACATGTAATGAGAGTGGTCCATCACCATGGTTTGCACTGATCATTCGTTATCTTCTCTTACACTTCCTTGCCCTCTGTCTTCCCCTCTCACTTCCCCCTTCAAAACAAAGCCCCATCGGTATTGCCTGACCTCACTGCATGGTGTTCTTCAGAGCCCTTTTTTAAATTATTATCATAATTATTTTTTTTTTGTTCTGAGTCATGCATGTTGCATCTAGCCATGAGCAGGATGCTCAACAGCATGTATTCCCTTTTTGCCCTCCCCCTCCTTTTTTTTCTTTTTTCATTTTTTGTGGTTGGATTTTTTTGTTTGTTCGGTTTTTTTTGCCTAAGGAGACACATCATGGGGATCTGATCAATTTGTCGTAGGCATTTTCTGTGTATGCTTAGTGGGAGAAAGCCTAAATAGCAATGGTAGCGCCCTTTAGCCCATATCTCCCTGCTGGCCTGTATTGGCCTTATGGTTTCACTTGCTGTAAAAATGAGAGGATGTGATAGGTCAAGTTTCCTTATCTCTGATAGTTTCCTCTTGCTGTGCTTTCTCTTTCCTGTTTGCTATGGTGGTTGCAATATAATCTGATCCAGCAGAAAATGTCTTGGGTGAACGTTAGCTCGTGTGCTGTATGGTTTGTGCATCAAACATCGCTTAGCAACAGGAGCTGCAAATACTTCTACCCAGCCAGCATGTAGTCAGAGTCCTGTTTTATTTTAATTAGCGACATTTCTGGCCTCATGCATTCGATTGAAAACACTAAGCTGCTAATTAAAAGGGTGCAATAATGTAATAGACAGCTTGACATGAATGCACTGCTTGCTTTGTATGCATCACTATCATGATTTGGCATAAAGACGCTGCAATTACCTGCATTATTTTTTCTATTGCCTCCAACATTGTAGCTCACAGCCTTCTCATGAAAAAGCCTCTGTCACAGTGCTAGCTGCCGCATTTATTCCTCAACTGGGATACAGCTTCCCCCGTACATCACTGTAGTGCAAGCCTACAGAGAACTATAGTCAAACACCTCCTGCAGATCAAAACCTGGCTCTGCTGTGAACAGTGGCATTTGCCACAGCTCTTCAGTGTGATAAATTGCACCAGGGACAAGGTCTGCACCAGCCAGCACAGAGCCTGGCTGAGCAAAAGCAAAGGCCTCGCCATGACTGTGTTCAAAAAATGTGAATGTGGGACTTCAGGGCATGGTGGAGTTAGGTTAACGGTTGGACTTGGTGATCTTAGAGGTCTCTTCCAACCTTAATGATTCTATGATTAAATCTCAGTTACTTCCCAGTGCCTTGGGAAGGTGTTCATAATACTTCCTGGGCAGATGAGAGAGTCTTGGCTTTTCAGTGAGTTATTTTTTAACTAGGAGAGAAGTCAAGGGTTTTTTCCCCACAGGTTTATATTTGTTCTTCCTCCAAACCAGCAAGATTGGGCTGCAGTGTATACCTAATCTCTGAGAGCTGGTGGCAGAGGAGCGTTTTAATGTGATCTATTTATTTAATTATTCATTTATTCAGCCAGGTATGATTGTTTCCATGTCCAAAGCATTTCTCGTGTGAGCTGTACTAGGGAATAATGGTGTGCACCAACCCGGCAGCGTGCACTGGATAACCACTGTCCCCAAAACATGCCATGGTGCAGCTGTGCCTGGGCACCAAGTACTACACTTGTCTTGCTGCCCAACGTAGTTGATTTTAAGATGCAATAACTTTGGTAGCTGTAAGCTGCTGGCCCATTTGAACAAGTGCATGTGTGCAGTAGAAAGCACAGATTTTGGTAGAAGCAGCAGACGTGGCTATAATGATAAGCTAATCTTTCAGATAGCAGATGTAAATAAACTGTAAGAATTTGCTTAATTCCTCTAAGAAAAGAGGTTTCATCAGGTAGACACACCCCAAATAAACTGGGGGGAGCTGCTTCTGAGAAATGATCGAACCTTATCAAAGCAGCTGCAGTTATGTAGGAGAAGGTGTGCGTTCAATGAGTGGTAACACCAGGGCTACGTTGGACTGCTGCTCTGCCTGCATGTTGGCTTCCTACAAAACCTGCTAACACAGCTTTAAGCTGAAAAGGTTTTTTTTTTCCCTTTTTCCCCCATCATTCTCAATCTGTTTCTTTCCTTTTGGATGTTCCCTGCCTAATTTGTTTCTTTTCTGTTTTTCAGACTTTACTTAAACATTGCATTTCCATTGATGTTGTCAAATGTTCTTTTTTGTTTGTTTTGTTTTGTTTTCCTCCTACAAACATCACTGATCCTTTTTCTTTCCCCTCCCTTTGGAATTCATAAGAAGATCCCACTTATGCACAGAAGAAAGGTATTCAATAAGTTGGAAGGTTTAAGTTTCGTTAATTTTCCTGATGCTTAATTAGATAATATAGACGATGTTAAGATACCAGTGAGAGATTTGGAGTTGGCTTTTTTCCGTAGTAGTGTTTTCTGTTGGTTCAATCCTGCATCTCGGAATATTTTCAGAGTTTATAGCCTTTTTTTCATTGTTCTGTTTCTTAATCTGAAGGTCTAAATTACATTTCACCTAAGTCCTACATATCCAGCTTGCAAGATCTGTGTTTGGATGCTACAAATCCGAAATCCAATAGCACTTGTTAAATTAATGAAGTAAGGTTCAAAGCTTTTAATCTACCTCCCAAATAATTTTTACACTCCAATTTTAAACTTGGCTGTGTTCATGAGGGTTTTTTTTCCTAAGTCCCTTCATGCAAATAGCATTTGTTTAGATATTGAAAGTAAAGTAAAATCTTTAGAGGATATCAGGCAACATTTGTAAAGGCTAAAATTAACCCTTTTACTCATAGCCAGTTTTCAGGTTATGACCCGTTTTCTTTCATATAAATGTATGATTCAGTGTAGCTGAAGTAATTCATAAGGTTTTGCAGTAATAGTGAATTTCAGAATACCAAACTGGAGTATTCACACTTGAAATGCAAGTCTAAAATTTATGTATAAATAGTTGGGTAATGCAAAGACACTTATCAGGTAAGTGGTATTCAGTCAAAAACTAATAAGGCACGAAAACATTGTGAATATCAAGTGCATTATTTAGCAAATAATGTTTAAAAAACAAATAGGATCAATAAAACTTCTACTAATATTTATTAAATAGAATATTTTAATTCCATTTCACAGATCCATTACAAATTAGGAAATTCAGTGGAGGCAAAAATAAGTGTACTTTTAGTAACCTTTTATGTGTATTGATGAGAAAGAGAATACTCCCTTTGAACCTGTTGTGTTTTATCATTAAGTATTTTTTTCCATTCTTATTTTATATTTAAGTGTAGGGCATTGTATTTCACTTGGGTCATAAATTGTATTTCTAGTTTCCAGTTCTCATTCCTCTGGAAGTTAAACAGTGACTGAAAAAGGTCAAATATGAGATCATCTAGAACTGTGTGAGTTTGT